GCAAGTCACACACTCTCAGCCTCAGAGGATGGCCATAGCAAACCACCTCTGAAGAAATCTTCCCAAGAAAACCCTGTGATAGGGTTGTCATAAGTCGGAAATGACTTGAAGGCACTCAACAACCACACCAACAAAGTGTGCAAAAACCCTAATGACTCTGATTTCACTGCTTTAGGGTTTGAGCTGCTTGTGGATGCTGTGCCTTAGCTATCTGACAGGTAAAAAGAGGCAGAAGGACACAGCATGGTGTAGTGGTTTGAGCGCTGAAATCTGAAGCTGGAGACCAGGGTTCGAATCCTAGCACGGCCACGGAAACCCACTGGGTGACCTTGGGCAAGTCACACTCTCTCAGCCTCAAAGGAAAGTCATGTCAAACCCCGTTCTGAAGAAACTGGCCAAGAAAACCCCCTGAAAGGTTCGCCTTAGGGTTGCCATAAGTCAGGATGGACTTGAAGACGCAGAATTCAAGGCTCAAACAATGCCTGAACAGACTGCCAGAAATAATCCAGTCTGAGACCACTTTAATTGCCCTGGCTCAGTGCTAAGGAATCATGGGAACTGTAGTTTATTGTGGCACCAGAGCTCTCTGACAGAGAAGGCTCAATGTCTCAGAAAAAAAACAATTCCCATGATTCCCTAGCACTAGCCCTAACCCTAACCCTTAAAGTGGACTCAATTTGCACTATTTCTGGCAGTCTGCAAAGGCCCTGAGTGGCCCCACTTCTCCTCTCACCATATGCCCATGCAAGGTGGGCTGATCTCGCCTCCCCTCCTCTATATTGGGGGAATAAACTGCAATACAGGCATTTATAATTCTGTCCTGCTTTATAGGGAGGTTGCAAGAATTTTTTTTTGAGATAAGGGGAATCCTTATAAGGGGAAGCAAATAGGATTCTTGCTGCAAGGATTCTTAGCATTCAGGCAAAAGACCAGCCGGCACCTTGGTGGTTTTTGATCCTCCTTGAGTTCAATGGAAAGAGGCGTGAATCTCTTCTGTCTCTCTCTGATAACGTTATTCCTAACGCCCTATTTCCCTTTAGCGCCCTTAAGAACCAGCACCGCCTCAGTCCATAACTACCATTCCCATAATTCCATAGCCTTGAGCCATGGCAGTTAAAGTGGTGTCAAACCGGATTATTTCTGCAGCGTGGACATAACCCGCTTAAAACCTTAAACCCGACGAATCCTTTAGCGGTAAAGACATCTCAGTAGTTCAAATCCGATCACAAGCAGATAATGACTGTCAGGCTATTTAACCCTGCTTCTAT